CAGTTGAAGATTAGTGGCGCTACTGGTGATATACTCCCGTACACTGGCTATATTGAACTCTCCGTTGGTGTCCCATTTAATGATAGAACTTACATGATACCAGTGTTGGTAGTCAAGGATACCGAGTTTAGTGCCCAGGTTCCGATGATTCTTGGTACAAACACTATTAGATTGTTCTATTCTAATGCACCGCAGATTGTCTCAGAGCCTTGGCAGATGGTATTTGATTACTTAAGCTCAGCTAGTTTAGGTACTGTCAAGTCGTCCAGCAAGCATCCTATTACTCTGCAACCTAGGGTGGCGACCACTTTGAAGGGTATAGTGCATACTAGTCCAGGTAAACACTGTGCTGTGACGGAGCAGTTGCAGATTAGCCCTGAGGGTTTAGGTGTTTGTCCTAGAGTTGTAGAAGTTGATGGTCAGCGTAAGACTGCTACTGTCTTAGTCAAGGTTTGCAATTTGTCTGCTAGAACTATTACACTTCCTCGCAAAGCAGAGCTATGTAGTTTGCAAGAGGTTCAGGTTATGGATTGTTTGCCTTTGGATTTGGAAGATGGTAGTGATGATTCTTCAGTCGGTGCTATGGATGAGAAGCCTGTTACTATTGATTTAGCAGATAGCCCCTTGTCTGGTGATCAAAGAGGTCAAGTACAGGATATGCTTAGTCGATGGACAGATATTATGTCTCAGCATTCTCTAGATTTGGGCCATACTACAACAGTTAGACATGAGATCAATCTTAAGGATGATGTGCCTTTCAAGGAACCATACCGTAGAATACCCCCGGCTTTATTTGAGGAAGTTAGGCAACATCTTAAGAATATGCTTGAGTGTGGAGCCATTCGTGAAAGTCATAGCCCTATTCTTCAAATATTGTATTGGTTCGTAAGAGAGACGGCAGTCTAAGAGTATGCATTGACATGAGAAAGATTAATGCTAAAAGCATTCGGGATTCCTATTCATTGCCAAGGATTGACGAAACTTTAGATTGTCTTGTTGGATCAAAATGGTTCTCTAAGCTTGATTTAAGTTCAGGTTACTGGCAAGTAGAATTACGTGAATCAGATAAGAAGAAAACAGCATTTTCTGCAGGTCCCTTGGGATTTTTTGAATGCAATAGGATGCCTTTTGGTTTGACCAACGCCCCAGCAACGTTTCAGAGGTTAATGGAGAGATGTATGGGCGATTTACACCTGAAAGAATGTTTGATCTATCTGGATGATATAATCATATTTTCACAAACATTTGAACAACACTTGACTAGAGTTGAATCTGTATTTCGGAGGTTGAGGGAACATGGTTTGAAGTTAAAGCCGTCCAAATGTGAAATCTTCAGAAACAGGGTCAAGTATCTTGGGCATGTTGTATCCTCAGAAGGAGTAGAAACTGATCCAGATAAGGTTGAATCTTTGAAATCATGGCCAGTTCCTGAAACTGTCAAGGAGTTGCAGAAATTTCTAGGTTTCACTGGTTATTACCGTCGGTTCGTTCAGAATTATGCGAGAGTGGCCAAACCTCTGACTGATTTACTTCATGGAAAACTGGAGAAAGGTAAAGCCAAATCTAAGTCAAAGTTACAATGGACTTTTGAACATCAAGCAGCTTTTAATCAGCTGATAGAGTGTTTAACTTCACCACCAGTACTTGCGTATGCTGATTATTCCAAACCCTTTATTCTCAATATAGATGCCAGTAGTGAAGGGTTTGGGAGCAGTTTTGTATCAGCACCAAGATGACAAGGAACGAGTGATTGCTTATGCTAGTCGTGCATTGAGGAAATCAGAGAAAAATTACCCAGCACATAAATTGGAGTTTTTGGCACTCAAATGGGCTGTGTGTGATAAGTTTCATGAGTATCTATATGGCAATCATTTTGAGGTTAGAACTGATAATAATCCCCTCACATATGTCTTGTCAACAGCCAAGTTAGACGCGACAGGGCACAGGTGGCTTGCAGCATTGTCAACATATGACTTTAAAATTATCTATCGTGCAGGAAAAGCTAACAAGGATGCAGATGCTTTATCTCGTCACCCAAACTTTTCTGCTACAGATATTCAGTCCAATGTTGTTAAGGCTATTTGTGGTTCTCAGTCTGTGAATATGGTTGAATGTTTGGCAACTTCACCAGATGTTGTGGAGGAGAGTACTGTTCCTTTTAGGAATGTAGATTGGGTCTTAGAACAGTCTAAAGATCTGGATGTTGGCAAAGTGATCGATTTTGTCACAAAGGAAAGAAAACCAACTGCTCGTCTAGTTTGCAAAGAATCCGATGGAGTTCGTAGGCTTTTAGGACAGTGGAAGAAACTTGTGGTTAGAGATGGTGTTTTATACAGAAAAAAGTTCCATCAAGGTGATTTGAGATATCAACTTGTATTGCCAACACAATGGAGGAAATTAGTTTTGGATGCGCTACATGATGACATGGGACATCAGGGTCGAGACAGAACAGTAGATTTAGTTCAGTCCAGGTTTTATTGGCCAGGGTTGTCTACAGATGTCGAAACAAAGATCAGGCTTTGTGGTAGATGTATTCGCAGAAAATGTTCTCCTAATCAAGTTGCAGCTCCACTTGTGAATATTTCTACAAGTCAACCTATGGAATTAGTTTGTGTAGATTACCTTTCTCTGGAGGAAGCAGGCGGATGTGGGAATATTCTCGTGATTACGGATCATTTTACGAGGTTTGCACATGCAGTTCCCACCAGGAATCAAACAGCTACTACAACAGCTAAAGCATTATTTGATTTCTTTCTTCACTATGGGTTTCCAGCACAGCTACATAGTGATCAAGGTCGCAATTTTGAGTCCAAAGGTTATCAAAGCCCTCTGTAAACTAGCTGGCACTGTCAAGACAAGCACATCGCCATATCACCCAATGGGAAATGGAATGGTAGAGCGATTTAACCAGACTTTACTCAAGATGTTGGGTACCTTGGAGGAAGATAAAAAGGCAGATTGGAAAATGTATGTTCCAGCATTAGTACATGCATACAATGCTACAAGGCATGATAGCACTGATTATTCACCATTTTATCTGATGTTTGGGCGGCATCCCCGTTTGGCTATAGATGCTTTCCTTGGCATTAATCCCAAATGACATGCAAGAGCAGTCAGGTGTCGATTATGTAGCCAGGTTGAAGGAAAGGTTGGACTATGCTTATAACATTGCTTCCACGGAGTCAAGTAAAGCTGCATGCAGACACAAGAAGAGATATGACAGGAGAGTAAGGGAAGCAGTTCTTACACAAGGAGATAGAGTACTTGTGAAGAACGTTGGTCTGAAAGGAAAGCACAAATTGGCAGATTTCTGGTCCAGTGACCCATATACAGTTGTCAGTCAGCCAAATAAGGACATACCAGTATATGTGGTGAAAAGAGAGAATGGAAAAGGTAAAGTAAAGACATTGCATCGAAATATGCTACTACCTTTTATGTCTCTACCTGGTCCAGATGTGACTATGCCTGCACAGCGCACAAGAACACAACTCAAGGAGATAGATTTTGAAGATATTTCTTCTGAAGATGAAAGTGAGTGTGAGGATTTAGTTCCTTTTCTCTATATTGGAGATCACCAAGGTAACCCAGAGGTTTCTATCACTTCATCGTCTGTCGAGTTGGATCATGCTGACTCTCATATTTTGGATCAACCAAGTTCTTCAGATACAGAAACTGTCAATAGCACTGAAGAGGCTATTGTAAATGACATTTCAGGAATTGTTTTGAATTCCCGAACAGAATTCAACCGGGACTCCCCAAGATTGTATTCTTGATCCGGGTGCCAGTCCTTTTATTCCTCGACGTTCAGGTCGTGAAAGGAGGCCACCAGACTGGTTCAGGAGTGGTGCGTATATTTTGCAGCAAAATGATGAAAATGATGAAATATTTGTATAATTCCTAATTGCATTTCAGGAGTTATTCTTTTAAGACATGTAATAATGTTTGAAGTTTGTATTGTATTTCAGATGTTTTATAATGTCGAGGACGACATTTTCCTGAGGAGGGGAAGGTGTCACAGGTTCAATTGTTCACACAATGTACAGCACAGCACCACTGGCACATTTTACAATTTTTGTCCCTAACAGCTTGCCATACAGATGAGCTGGCTGCCGGCAGGTACATCCTGGGCTCTGGCACATGCTGCTCCTGCAGTCTGTGCACTCAGGTGATATAAAAGCTGCATGTGCCATGTGCCCGGCACACACCATGCTGGCAGTGGCAGCCCTTCATGTAATTTCCCTAATTACAGGTACGCAAGTTTGTTTGAATTGTTCATATTATAACAATTTCTTATAATTAAGTCAGGTGTAACCCTGTAGTTAAATACATTTAATGGTTTAGTAACCATTATCTTTCAGATATATAATATTTTATGTAAAATGTCACAATAGTTTTACTTGTTGTATTGCTATATGGACACACCATGCTGGCAGTGGCAGCCCTTCATGTAATTTCCCTAATTACAGATACATTTATGGCACGGTCGTGTTTGAACAACCCCAAATGGCAGAATAAAGCGATTAAACACCAGCCCAGAGGTCGTGTTATTAAACCCTGCGACATAAACATGGTATTTCTACAGAATGTAAAATGATTTGATCTGTTCTAATTGTAATACAGGCTCTATAGAGGATGAGTTCCATGTCATGTTTGTATGCACCATGTATCTAAGTTTGCGAAAAAAGAATATATGTCATTTCTTTCAAACACTGTAATAGATAAACATTCACTGTCAAATTTGTTAAATTCTAAGAATATTATGACTGTTAGGTCTGTAGCAATTTATCTCAAACATGTTTTCACTGTGCGTAGCCATAAATGTAACCATGAATGTAACCAGATGTTGACGTGACTTGCATAGTATTTTGTAACATCAACAACTGTAATGTAGGCCTTAAGGCCAGAATAACCGAATAAACTGAATCTGAATCTGAATCTGTGACTTAATTACGGGCCCTATAGGCCGAGTGTTAGGAGTGACCTTGAAGATGGCGTCCTACCTTCTTGGTCTCCCAGGCGAGGAAGGCGCCCAGCATCAGGAGGATGCCCTGGACCGAGAACAGCACGGCGTCGAAGTAGCGGATGTAGTTGGACTGGCAAATGGCTCCCAGATAGCGGAGGCGGGTGTCTCCATTGTCCCGTGTCTGGGGACAGATAGCAAGGAGGTCAGCAATGACGTGAGTGAGTGAGTGGGTGAGCTTTGAAGTGAGTGGGTGGGCATTGGAGCGAGTTGATAGGTATTAAAGTGAGTGAGTGGGTCAACATTCGAGTAAGCGTTGAGGCGAGTGGACGGGCATTGAAGTGGAACAACAATGAAGTGAGTGAGCACTGAAGTGTTTGTTTGTTTGTTGTGCAGCAATATCCCAGCTAAACGGCGGCGGTCTGTACATCATCGAGTCTGGACCAGACAACCCCGTGATGAGCAATACTCTACGCATACATAATGGCATGTGTTAACCAGGTCAGAGAGCATGACCGCCCGATCCCGTTGGTCTCTTTACAAGAATAGGTTGCTAAGGCCCACTTCTAACTCGGATCTTCACGGGTCGAGCACTGATGTGAGTGGATGAGCATTAAAGTGAGTGTGTCAATATTGGTGTAAGGGTGCCGGCATTGAGGTGAGTGGATGAGATGTTTTATAGGAACATTGAAGCAAAGTAACTCTTTCTTATTTCAATTGCAAACCGATGTGATCATCAGCCCACACGCGTCCTTCCTAACACATATGTTTTATATATTGTTCATAAACATGATATCAGGGTAACACTATTGCTGTCATCGTGAATTTTATCAAAATTGTATGCAGCTGAGACCTTAACCAATATTTTTTAATGTGTGTGTGTGTCTGTCTGTCTTTGTGTTTGATAAGCTCATGGTGGTTAAGTAACACTGTTGCAGCAATTCATAACAGTTAAGCAAAGCGAATAATAAATGGCTTAAAAAAAACTGCACAGTCACAGAGGCTTCGTACAAATGCAGTTTGTACGCTGTAACGCAAATTAGAGGTATCTACCCTTGATTGAAAATGTCACATTGCTGTGAACAGAAACATGGCAACAAAACGACGTTACTGTTTGAAAACGTTCGAAAGTTCCTTCAGGCCATAATTGTTTGTGGTAACGTTCACCTATACCGACAGCAAATTCTGAAAATCCCTTTTTTCGACATGTTTGAAAGAAATATCAGTTGAAACCACATTCATGTTTACAATAAATCCCCAGTATGTGACACCAGGGCAGATGTTGGATTCGAACCTGAAACTCACGGATCCAACAGAAAGTAAGAACACAGAAACATTAAGGCGCTTTTGCAAAGTGCTCACAAATGAATCTGAAATTGTGTATATTCCACTTGTGTTGTGTAACCTACCTCCACGGACAGCTCGTCCCAGCGTATGTACAGGGGGTCAAATACTGACCAGCTGACCAGCAGGACCAGGTTGAAGAGGGTCAGAGCAGCCACCATCAGGAACAAGTGGCTGTCCTTCAAAACCTGGAGCCACAAACACTTGTTGACGAGTGAGTTTAGCTTTACACCGCTTTTAGCAATATTCCAGCAATATCTCGATGGGGGACACCAGAAATGGGCTTCACATATTGTACCCATGTGGGGAATCGAACCCGGGTCTTTGGCATGACGAGCGAACGCTTTAACCACTAGGCTACCCCACCGCCCCTCTACCATCATGAGGTGTCTTGCAGCATATAAGTCCTAAGGCGTCCAAAGACTTTTACTGATTCAGAATCCAATAAAATGGGATCGTTCGCAGAATATAGTTTTATTATCAAAACAAAATCTTATATATTATGGCATTCCAACAGATATACAAAGATATGAAAGGAGGATGGAGGATCAGAACCTGCTCATGTATTCCCAGCACATACCTTTTTCTGTAGTTTCACGTTGGTGAAAATTAAATGAACCCTCCATGTTTTGGAAAACAGAGCACCAAATATTAAGGACCATCCCAGAATGGCAGGGTACCGTCTCCCCTGGCAACACGAAAGAAACTTTACATAGCGTTATTTCCTTCAACAATAATTTAAATGACAAAAAACTCGAACTACTGCATTTAACACTGTAATAACTGTGTACAGTGTTTGTAAGCCCGCCGTTCACGTTCACTGACATGAATCTCATTTGCAAAAAGATACATTTTATTTTATGTCCGCTTCATGTGATTTCAAAATATTTTACTCAAATGAGACTTCACTCTCTGTACTTCAAATCTTACTGTTTGTGATTAATGACACACCTGGAAAAATGTCATTTAATTTCCAACTGCAAATCAAATATGGGAGCAATGACTGATATTTTGAGCACTCATTTAGCATGGCTTTTGCGAGATCACAAGTCAGGGAAGCGGGTGTATAATCCCACAGTGTGTCGACGGCTTGTTTAGACTGCAAATAAAGATTATAAAAGGAGTGTGTGTGCATTTACTTTTACGCCGCTTTTAGCAGTATCCCAGCAATACCAAGGACACCAAAGGATTCACACATGTTAGGAATCGAACTCGGGTCTTCGGCGTGACGAGCAAACACTTTAACTACTAGGCTACCCCACCACCCCTTGTATAAGGAACCAGTTACAGCGACGGAGTGTGATCTAACATAGCTTACCGTACATGCTAAAGAAGGTTCCAACGCTGAGACGAAGACAGCGACGTAGGTCAATATACAACCGATGAGGATTATGTTATTGATACGTGGCGAAGAGAGCTTAATAAATCTGAAAAATGGCATGACATTTATTATACAATTCAATTTTACAATTGTTCGTGTCAATTGTAACATCATTAGGACGTATGTAGGTGTCAAGGTGACGAAATGTGAATATAGGAAACATTTTGTTAAATTTTCAAACTCAGGCAGTGACTGCAATGTTTCAGTTGCAAATATTCTGTATTATTTATTCTTAAGTGAGTGGATGGATTTGATGCTAACAGGACAAAGGTTAATAATTTAAGCAACGATTCTGGTTCAAGAGGTGATGATCACAAAATAATCTGATCGATTGTCACCTTCTAATTTATATCCATTATTTGTGGCCATTCGGCGAACATCATCCCTTGAACTCATGATATCGATCATTGGTATTGTCGATTATTTACAGATGGTCGCCATATTGTGGAGTATTGAAGACTGTAGAGCTAAACAACAAACAATACCGATCCTTGTAGTCTTTGGAGCGCGTGGCACAAGTGAGCAATATTTTATGCCGCATATAGAAATACCCCTGGCACATCACGAAGGACACAAACAGGTAGCTCAGTCAGTCAGTGGACGAGACGAGCGTACGTTACAACCGCTGAGCTACTCCGTACGTTACAACCACGGGGCTACCCCGTCGTTACCAACCCTGCTTCAACCTTAACCTGGATATAGTTACAATCAAGAAAAACGACATACTTACTTCACTTTTCTGTTATAGATGTTGAAGATGAGGAAGGCGATAGAGGCCAGGAGACCTAAAGCAGCTAGAGTGCACATGAAGCCATACAGGACCGGCGACAATGTCAAGGTCAACGTGTACGTCAACACGCCGTCTTTTTGAGGGACGCCACCTGAATATTGATACAGTTATGACGTCAGTCACAGCTAGCATTGATGGGTGCACCACAGAAGCCAAGATAAAAAAATAACAACAAAGAGGCATTTTCACTTGCTGTTTTCCCATTCAATTTCGGGTTAGTAGTCGACAGTAACGTGTCCTTTAAGAGGCGACCGAATGGCGAGGATGTAGGCTCGGTGGCTTGGCACATAGCATATCTTGGCATATCACAATATCAGACCGTCATTATGGTGCTTTAATATTTATTGCGTGGAGTGTTAAACAACAAACAAGACTGATTTAAGACTAGTAATATAATCAATGCTGCGTTTAGATATGAGAGGTCAATGTTCTATAGCTATGTTCAAACTGAACGTGTAGCGTCATCCGTCATTGTGATATCTACAGTGAAAGGCTCACGGTGATCGGGCATCTCATGCCAAAATGAGAGAGTGATTGGATACGGTTTTACGCCACCTTTAGCAATATTGGCTTCACAGATTGCACCTATATGGGGAATCGAACCTGTGTCGTCGGTTTGACAAGGGAAAGCTTTAACCACTAGGCTTTCCCATCGCCCCTCATGTCAAAGGAACAGTGTAAAGGACATGTGAAATCTGACCAGGTATAACATCCATACACCTGGTTAATGTACTCACCTTCCCAGCGAGCTAGCGTCAGGTTCAGCCTCCCCTCCTGGTCTTCTCTCACCACACATATCATCCTCCGTTCACCATCTGGAAAACGGTACTTGTCAAACTACTTCTTGTCAGTGACTGAGCTCAAGCGGGACAGGGATACAAGTTTCATTGTGCAGAGTTGTTTCCCTTGAGTCTGTCAGGATCTGTTAGATTCTCCCTAATAAGATCCATAGTTTGCACTATACCCATTCGTTTCACCTTAGTCAAAGCTCTGGGTCCGGATCCACAAAGCGTAAGTAACATTACGACCTGTCGTAACTCCATAGTTTATCATAGGCTGACGAATGTCAGGGCGCTACGAACGTTTTGTGGATCGGGACCCGGCATCACCTTAAGCTTTCATCCCGTATGAAACTAGATCGTACACACCGATAGTATTCTGTGAAGTAGGAGAGACGCAACTCTACACTCGGAATTGTGCATAAGAGGACTGGGCCATCTATGACCCCCAGGTCAGGTATGATTAGAAACTACCAACAAAAGGAAAGCGCGCGTACAACCGTGTTGACTAGTGGCGACTAGAGAAAACAAATCAATAACGATTATTCGATGGTGTTATTTGGTAAGTGTATTACAGGTGTTTTCCCCACAAGTGAGGAGTTTGTCGGCGGCCCATTTCAGCCTAGTAATGTTTGGATAACGTTTTGGGGCAAGTCCAGTATTCAAATGTATACTTTCTTTTACCGGGCGGTTTGCAACTACTTTGTGAAAGAAACGCTCGAGCTACCGAAAATACTTTACAGTGTTCACAGAATAATGACACATTTCCATATTCTTATTCTTTTCCAGAGAATGAATGAATGAATGAATACTCTTTATTTCCCCCCAATGATTTGGAGAGTACATTACATTATATTACTTGTTATATTATATATACTGAGTCATTCTTCACATTCTTTCTTCAGGGCACTATAAAAGAACAAGAGATGGTAAGATGGTTAAATTGTTATTATTTCATTTCTGAGATCTGTGTGATGTACTCGATACACTGACAGTGCCATAATCAGTTCCATTAGGCTACACCGCCGTTCCAAAACATGGGTATACAGAATGTCAAGTCACAAGAATAAAAATGCGAAATTTCTCAGTTCAATATCGTGTATGGCCGCCCCGCGCATTCACCACTGCCAAACACCGTCTCCTCATCGACTGCCTGATGCTTGTGAACACGTGGTTGGGGATTCTGCGCCATTGCTCTTGCAAGACAGCGCCAAGTTCCTGCAAATTCTGAGGTTGGTTCCTAAGACCACGAAGCCTTCTCCCAAGTGCATCCCAAACGTGCTGTATTGGATTAAGGTCAGGGGACCTCGATGGCCAGTCCATGACGTTGATTCCAGCGTTTTGAAGGAAATTTCGTGTCAACATCGCGGTATGCGGCCGAGCATTATCATGCTGGAACTGTAGGCCTGGGCCATGAGCCGCCATAAAAGGAACGAGTTCAGGGGTGAGCACCTGGTCGCGGTAAGCAGCAGCTGTGAGGTTTCCACGGATGACCAGAAGTCGGGAACTTCCGCCCCCGAATCTGTCGACTTCCTGTACACAACATTGGGCATACCGTTCACGACGTCGTCTCCAGACTCCGGGAATCTGAGGGTAAACCTTGATTCATCGCTAAAGACGACTCGATTCCAGTCTTTCTGGGTCCATCGGAGGTGACGTTGGGCCCACAGCAGACGTTGACGTTGATGAAACGGCGTCAATATTGGCCCACGATATGGACGTCAAGAAAGGCAACAAGGACATTTGAGTGTCTATCTCCATAATATGAAATAACCTCCTTTAATACATATGTGGCCACACTGGCTCCATGCTCTTTCCGGAATCCACACTGGTGGCGATGTGGGAAATCAGGATTTACAGTTTTGATGTGGGATTCCAGTCTGTCAAGCAACAGTCTCTCAACCACCTTCCATATCACTGATGTGAGAGTGATACCGCGATAATTAGCTCGGTTGCGTATATCTTTGTTATTTCCTTTATGTATAGGAATAATAGTTCCAGTTCTCATCATGACAGGCGTGTGACAGGAGCTGACGATCATATTATAGAGGTGCGCCAGGTGTTTAAACAGAAGAGTGTCGGCATAATGGCGATGCTCGGCAGTAATACAGTCAGGTTCCGGAGACTTATTCTTTTTTCAGCTTCTTAATGATTACTTTCACTTCACTGGATGTGGCACCCATGAAAGGCCACCTCCTCGTGGTGGGTGCTGGGTCACGCTAAGCGCCTTTCAACCCCTCGTTGTGGACCCGGGGGGGGGGGGATATTTTGGTCCACCAACCCGTTTGCCGTGGGTTGCGCCCCTGTGTCGGTGGAGGACGGGAGGCTGGTGGTTGAGGGCACTTGGAGCCTGGAACCGTGTTCCTTTTGCCCAACACACCACTTCGCCCCTTACTTCACCTAGACGGGTGGTAGAACTGGCCCGGTTCTATCAATCGGCTGGTCACGTCATGCCCTGTGCATGGAAATGTTTTATTTGGATTAATCATGACATACAAAAATTGTTGATTAAAGACTGTGACAACCTTATTATTGCAAATTTACATTTTGCCTAGAGTCCTATGCCAGAAGGCGGTGGCTCATGGGCCAATCTGGTGGTATAGACCTCTGAATTCTGAGTTTCTTAAGAAGAATGTCAAAGCCGAACCAGCTAGACACTTCTTCTTTTTGATTTCTTAGCTATTTATGTCTGTATTTCTGGAGTATAGCATCCCTGTAGCTCTGATCGTGCAGTTTGGTTTCCACTGCAGGGTCGTCCTTGTTGACACTCGATGGCGGGTGGAGATCAGGGTTGCTGAAAATCATTATAATACTATGGCTCACAACATTCCCCCTGGTTCAAAAACGAATAAACGTAGACACCTTTCAACATCATCTGATGATGAAGTCTCTTCAGCGGTGGTGGATTCATGGCCAAGATTCTTGGTTATTGAAACCGCAGATGGAAGTCCATTGAAACTGAATCCCTTTGCTATATCGATGGGTATCAAAAGTGTCTGTGGAGAGGTAGCAAACGTCACACGTCTTCGTTCTGGCTCCCTTCTTGTTGAATGTGCCCGGAGGCAGCAATCTGTAAACTTGTTGGGATTACAACAATTTGTTAATACACCAGTTGTTGTCTCTGTGCACAGGACATTGAACTCTTGCAGAGGTATCGTCCGTGACAGATCTCGTTGTCTGGCGTATATGACAGAAGAAGAAATTGCTGATGAATTGAAACACCAAGGCGTAACTGCTGTTAAGCGGTTTACCAGAAAACAGGAGGCAGATATAATTAAAACTAATACTTACCTGTTCACCTTTGGGCTGTCGTCTCTACCAAAAGCTATTAAAGCTGGTTACTTTAATATCCCAGTTGATGTTTACATCCCTAATCCGCTGCGATGTTTTAAGTGCCAAAAATTTGGACACGGTGCCAAGTCATGCACTCGTAAACCAGTATGCTCCCGTTGCAGTGGGGCTCATGATAATACTGAATGTACCAAAGACATCAGATGTGCTAACTGTAATGGTGAGCACATGGCATCGTCCAAATCATGTCCTAATTTTGAACTCGAGTCAAAGATTCTCAAAATCAAAATCACTAACAACCTCTCCTACCACGAAGCCAGAAAGTTAATACCTGCACAGTCTCAAACCACTACAACTCGATCATATTCAGCCACTGTTTCTTCCCCTGTTCATCATCCTGTAACAAAGGTTTCAATTTCATGCCAGACAGCCATATCTTGGGTAAAGGCCAAACAAGTTACACTCGATGACTCCACCCAGTCCTCTCAAAATGAGCAAAGTTCGTCAACAACTGCCTCACAGACAGAACAAGAACCAGAGACACAATCAACTCCAGGAAACATAAGCCATTTGTCAAATAAAGAAAAGAAAAAGATGCGTAGGGCAAAGGCCCTCCAGCATTTAGAGGTACCATCTACCTCGTCAACATCCGTGACGGTTCATAATCCGTTTGGACCTCTTGATATGGAGGTCACCCTCACAGCCAGGACGAGGGAGTAGACATTCTTCGCGGTCAAGATCCCCTGTTGAACCGCCATGAACAACTCTATTAATTTAGTACAATGGAATTGCAGAGGCCTTAGGAATAATTTTAATGATCTACAGTTATTATCACAAGATTTTAATCCATCGGTTTTAGTTTACAAGAGACCTACTTGAAAAGTACAGATAAGTTTGAATTGCGTCGGTACAATTCATTCCATTCATTCTCACCTCCAGGCGATAAAGCCACTGGCGGCGCCTCTATTCTCGTGAGGCAGGGTGTTATCCATAGCTCGGTTCCTCTTAAAAGCAATCTTCAGGCTATTGCTGTCCGTCTTTCTTTACAGATAACCTTTACGCTTTGTTCTTTGTATATTTCTCCTTCTTCAGCTCTTCAGCAGTCCGATCTTCAGGATCTCTTTGACCAACTTCCTCAACCATGTATAATCATGGGAGATCTAAACGGCCATAATCCTTTTGTGGGTAGTGCCGATACCAACAGTAAAGGAAAAATCATTGAGGACTTCATTTCAAACAATAATTTATGCATCTTTAATGATGGATCTGTCACATATTTACACCCTGGTTCAGGAACGTATTCTGCACTCGATCTGTCGCTCACAGACCCAAGTATTTATAACGAATTTAAGTGGTCTGTCCACGATGACCTTTGTGGAAGTGACCATTTTCCTACAATACTTTCCGCTATAAACCCGAGTGATGACCCATCTACAACAAGGTGGAATTTTAATAAGGCTAACTGGCCATTATTTCAGACATTGTGTGCTGACAAATTGAAATCTGACTTTTGTCAATGTTTCAGATCCGATTGAGTTGTTCTCTGCTAAACTGAAGAATATTGCCGATGAAACGATTCCTAAGGCTTCTGCTAAACCACATGTTCGTAAACCATGGTTTACTGATGATTGTAAACAAGCTAGGAAGTGTAGGAAGAAGGCAGAGAAATACTTTCGACGTCACCCTACAGTTCACAATTTAGATAATGTTAAAATAAACAATGCCAAGGCTCGGCGTACTTTTAA